AATGATTACTTTTCGTTAAAATCTTTATTAATGCTAAAAATGCTTACATTTATGTGTCTTTTTGTTCGCTCGGGCAGCCATGTTGTCCCTGAAGCCGGTTTACGCTGAGATAATTCATACCCCTTCGTTTTTGAAGTGTGGTCCTGAAAAATCTTTGTTTGAAGGGCTGTCTGGCCCTTCCCCTACCCCTACCTCTCCAACCAAAAGAGAATTGAGACACCCCTACCCCTTCACGTGAACGGGGAAGGGCTAAGGGGTAGAATTGGGATTGGGCCTTAGTCTCTTGCCATTCTGGAAAAGTGGTAGTTGCCATATAACAGCCCTTTTTTGCCAGTCATTTAACAATCTTTGTGCATGTTATTAGCCCTTCTATACTGACTTTACTGGGGGCAAATGTGGTTATTTTCTTTCTCTTTTTTCTTTTTTTTTTTCCGAGTATGAAAATGAGTATGAAAATAAACTTCAGATTTTGAAGACTCTAGTACACCATCAAAGGCCCATTACTCAAATTTGCTTTGCAAACCCTTTGTAGCGACACAACATTAGTCCTAACACTTGTTCACCTTGGTCAGAAACATCCATGACATATCATCGATTACCACAGAAGATATTTAGGCTAATCCTTCACAAACAAAAATTGCCTCTACATGCACGTACAATGAAAGTCTATGCAGCAATGTATTGCAGCACTAAAATACACACTGTTATGTGTTATTATGAGCCTAGATGGATAAAATTATGCATAAAGCTCTGTCTATTACATGTGGAGTTTTTAGGTCCTATAATTAACACCTCTGTTTTTTCAGAATTTAGCAGTAAGAAACTTACTAGCATTATTTCAAAATATGTCCTGTTATGACCATGTAAGCCAATAAACACTTTTGCATCATACACCAATGGATGGACAAATCCAACAAAAGAGGTATTAATATAATCATTAATTAATGTAAGTACTTTAATTAATATAAGTTCAGTCAGGACCACTCTGTTTGATTAAGATTATTGTTGAGGTCCTGAACATTATTTTGGTGGCAGGCTTTGCTCTGAAGGGTTCAGATTCTAAGCTGTCCAGAAGCAAACCTCACTGAGGTTTGAAACCCCCCAACACAATGACGTAGTATGTTCAATTCTAAGATCAATCAGAAGTGGCGTGCCTTGATATTGAAAGGAGTAGCTCCATCAGTGACCACTATGCTCACAACTTAGATAAACTGCAGCACTTCCTCAATCAGCTGTCCTCCAACCATCAGTGGAACATTGGTCTGTGCACCTCCCACTCTTGGAGCAGTCTTTGTCTAGGCCCTACTGATTCTCTGTGCAGTCTTAACTTTTGTGGATGCTCTCTTGTTTCAGCACAGTGGAGAAAGCATATTTCAATTATAATCGGGAATGCTGTTCTCTGGTAAGTGACTTGTGAGGCTATTGGCCATAACCGAAAGCCTGAGCAACAAGTATGTTCCAATAATACACAAAAAGCTTTGATCAACAGCACGTTTCCTAAAAAACGGCTTAGCCAACAATGAGAACGTTCCAATGATAAGCATAATTGTGCTAAACAGTATATGTTCCTATAATGACTTAGTAACAAGCACATTGCCAAAAACCTGTTAATTTTTAACTGAGTATAAAAGGAAAACTTAGCTTAGCTTATGAAGAAGCATTTGGATGAATGGAGAGTGAAGTATACCCAGATGTGATGAAGATGCTTGATCTTACTGATGTCACACTCCTTCATATAGGGAGGGCTGATCTCGACTGGATTGTTCTGAAGTCACTTCCAGTCAAGCCGCTTATACTGGCCGATGTGGTGAATTGTGAGTCAAGATCACAAAACTGAATCTGAAGTCAAATTTGGTGGGGAACAAATCCTTTCATCTGTTTGTATTTGAGATTAACTAGAAGGCTATTTTAAGTGAGTATCTGTGCGACAATTTAAATTTTGATGCTGTCGAGCAATTGTCTGGCACCGAACTTGAAGCGAGTGTCTGTGCGACAGACTAGTGACTGAAAGCTGTCTTAATGTGTCCGTCCGACAGAACTGAAAGCTGTTTGTCTGTGAGACAGACAAAGGCAAGTGTGAGTGCCTAAGAACTTGTATATCTTATTTAATTGTAGTGATGCTGGCTGTCACGCCGTGGTCTGCCTGAACTACACTTAAAGGGGTCATATGATGCTGCTAAAAAGAACATTATTTTGTGTATTTGGTGTAATGAAATG